AAAAGCAAGAGAGAGAAGCTCTCTCTCAAAAAAAAAAGAGAGAGAGAGAGAGAGAGAGAGAGAGAGAGAGAGAGAGAGAGAGAGATGACAGCTCCAGAGAAACAGCATGTGAGGCTGACTTCTAGTCTCCACAGTCACACTCCACAGCATGCGTATATACACATGTGTACACACACACACACACACACACACACACTCCACAGCATGCATGTGTACACATTTAAACACTCATACTCTCAAAAAAAAAATTCAACTGATGTGACAACAGAAAAATTCCAAGTTAATGATTATAAATGGGGATGTTATAGAATACAGGCTTCCAGCATCTTAGACATTACAGACATGTAATTTATTACCAGAGCTCCTAACTGTTTTTAAAGTGTTAGATGGAACTCTGAGGAAATTTTTAACCAAAGGTCACTATTCCATGACTGTGGGAATCCAAAGGCAGCTTACACTAACCACCTGCTGATCAGACTTTGGCAGCAATGTCTACCCAGTTCATAGAACAATAAACAGGTTCAAGTGCACCCGAGCCTCTACCGTGGCTGAATAATATTTCATTCTAGTATGTTTGCATTTGAAAGCTAATGCATTTTCTTTTCATAAAACTTACTCTGCCCTACAAAAGGTTGCTGGGATCCATGAGTCCTTTTCAGTTCCCCAATAATACGAACCACAACAGCTTATTTGGTGTTAATCTGAGTGCTATAGGCAATTTATAGCCAGGCTTTATTATCATTTAGCAGCAATTAATATGCAATTATAACCTGATACGAAAAATTGAAAGGGCATTATGCAGATAGCAGTTGCCTTAGTGGTTCTTAGTTTATGTGTGGTTTTCGGATGGTTTACTAAAACAACTACCAACAGAGTACTTTACTTAATGAAATGCTTGTCTTTCTTTGTTCCTATGGGAATTTCTACCTTTGAACAAGGTTAATAAGCTAAACATACATGGCTTGGCAAGTAGCCCTGGGGACCCCCTGGGCTGTAGGTAGCTTCTCACCATGTGTGAATGTGCCCTTTTTGCACTGAGATGCTGAGCCCTGCACACTGAGAAGGGGGAAAGCCAGATGACCCATTTCTCTTTCTCAAAGTACTAAGAGTTCTCAAGAACTTATATTTCATCATTCTTTTGACTCTGTGGAAAACATGGCTTCTAACCAAAATGATAGTCTGCTATTGTTTTCAATCTGCTTTTAAGCCGATGATAACAAATTACATATTTTCTGGAGATATGAACACCATTTATAAGTCTGAGTTCTCATCCCAGCTCCAATCAATCACTCTACCAAGTCAACTATCAGAGGCAACTGTGTATCTCTTTTAAAACAAAACAAACAAACAAACAAACAAACAAACCCACAAGTTTTCATGGGGCCCAGGCTGATCTCAAACTCACTGCCCGGTGGAAGAATGGCCTCGAACTCCTGATCTTTCTGCTTCCACCTCCCCAATGTTGAGATTACAAGATTGCAGACCATGTCTGCAATTTATGCAGTGGTGAATATCAAACTCAGGGCTTTCTGCATAATAAGCAGTCATGTTGCCAACTGATCTACATTCCAGTTTTGTGAAACTCTTGGAAAGGTAGAATAATGATAGGATGATCTGAAACTCCTAAGTGACAGCCTAAACAGATGCAATCCAGGACTGAAACTGAATATGCGTTAATAATAACCTTCCAAATGCATAACACTTTTGTGAAACCCTTGGAAAGGTAACATGATCTGAAACTCCTAAGTGACATCCTAAACAGACACTACCAAGGACAGAAACCGAAGGCCATTCTTCTCCCACCCAACACAGATCTCTCCTAACCCTGCTTTGTCTCTTCTTTAATTTGTGCACATCCTGAAACAAAGTTGCTGCCTCGCTTCCTTTTAGGTCTTCCTAGCGGAGTTCAAGAGAACCAATCAGTTTTTCGCGATAAAGGCCCTAAAGAAGGATGTGGTGTTGATGGATGATGACGTTGAGTGTACCATGGTGGAGAAGAGGGTTCTGTCCTTGGCTTGGGAGCATCCATTTCTAACACACATGTTCTGCACCTTCCAGACCAAGGTATGCTTTTGTTACACTATAGGGGCCCTAATTGGGTTCCTTTTCTCTGCCAGTTAAAGAATTAAAAGACTCAAGAAGTCCAAAGAGCCACAGGTAGCAGCAGAGAAATGTCAAATCCACCATGCAAAAGAAAGGCTTTACTGGGGCTGGAGAAACAGACATGCACATACACCCTGAGAAAAAGGCCCTCTGCAAAGCAGAGAGAGGACTGAGAAGCTGAAACCCCAGACTCTTCTCAAGACATGAAGGTTTTAAGTCTCGGAAGGGTTTCCTCCCCTGATTTAGGGTTAGTCAGTTCCTTGTGTAAACATGTCCTGTTCCCAGCCTTGAATTAGTTGAGTCAGTCCATCAGCAGGGGACCTCAGAGGAAAAGCCCACACAACCATTGTCTTAAGCTTTCAGGCTTTTGTCTCAGGTCAAGAAGTTGAGGAAGACGCCAGCCACCTTGGAAGTTCTCCACCTTGAGTACCTAGCCATGACTCCTCTCCCTGTGTGCCTGCCTACCAGGGAGTCCTGTAATTCCCTGGTCTCTCACTTTCTGCTCAGACACACTTCCTCCCCCTTAGACTTATCCCAAATGTTGCCCTCTAGTGGATTTTGTCTCCACATTTTTCTTACCTCTCAACCTGTCCTCCATATGCCTATCTCAAAAAACTTTCACCTCTTCTAAGCACCATGGAAACATGGGCTAGAATTGTAAATGTGTGTTGGGAGAGACACTTGCTTCCAGGTCTATTTCAATGCCCATCATTTATTATGATTTAATTTGGTATACTAACCAGACTACTACATGATATCCACTCTTTAGTCTACTGGATATGTATTTAAAGGGGCAAGAAAAAAGGGAAAACAGATAAAAATGTATGATCTCTATTACTGCCCTTTAAAGACTATCCGGAAAAGTGGGTGTTCTTATGAACACCGTGCCAGCAAGCAGATACATGGGCAGGAGGGGTATTGGTCTTCAGGGAGTTAGTGAGAAATGCCCAGGGAAAGCATTAGGCCAGTGTCGGAGAGAATAAGAGAAGGAGGGAGAAGGAAAATAATGCTTTTCTGAATTGGGACTAAGGAAAGGGAGCAGGCTCAGCAGTGACACAGGCCAGAAGTCCTGCAGGCAGCTGCATAGGAAGGGCCTTCTGAAAGGAAAAGGTGGTCAGCAGCCTTCCCCTCTCCCCAGCATGGCTTCTTGATGAATCAGACTTCTGGCCAGGTGACTGACAGCAGACACAGTCAGATTAACCCTCAAAAAGAAAACAATATTACATGATGTTTGGGGTAGTCAGAAGGTCAGCTCTCCACCTGGGGTCAGAGGTGGGACTTAGATTCCATTCCTTTACCAGGAAGAAACAGCTTTCCCTTAGTGAACCCCACAAAACCCACAGGCCTCCACCTTTTCATATGGTGATCGAAATCCCAAGGAAGGGCTTCATTTTCTAGCATTACCAGGAAGACAGGAGGTGGGGTCCAAAGTCGAGCCGGAGGGGGATCCGTCTCAATCCCTCACAGCCTGATAATGCCAAGCGCCTGGCAACAGCTCTAAGCTTGTAGTATTCAGTCAGAATACAGACCTGAAGAGGCATACCGGGAAGAAACTAGATATTAGAATTTGAAAGGGACAAAGGACAGGAACTTGGGCATGGCAGGTAGGGGGATGTGGATGGTCCTCAACCTTCCTAATGATGTGACCCTTTAATACAGTTCCTCAAAGTTATTTTGTTGCTACCTTCATCACTGTAATTGTGCTACTTTTGTGAAACAATGTAAATCTCTGATATGTGGGATATCTAATATGTAACCCCTGTGAAGGGGTCATTTGAACTCCAAAGGGCTAAGAATACCCGTCTAAGTTTGTTTGATGCAGCAAGAAGGAGGGTGAAATTTCTGACAATGAATGTAGAAATTTTCCGCTACAATCATCTTCCTGTTTGTCTGGGTGATGTAGGTATGGTACCTGAGGGACTCTGTCCCTCTCTCCCTAGGTGAGGCCCAGATTGCTGTCTACCCTGGAAGTGTTATCTGTTGGTGCACTTTTCCGTTTTTTATTTTTCGGACAAGTTTTTTTGGTTTTGGTTTTGTTTTGGTGTGTGTGGCATATGCACATGTGTGTGGCTTATGCTCATATATGTGTATGTGTGCACAGGTGTGCATACTCATATGTACATGTGGAGGCCAGACGAGGCTTTGTTTGGTGTCTTGTTCTTTCACTCTGCCCTGTTTCCTTAGAAGGGTCTCACTGAATCTGGCTCTAGGCTGTTAGCCAGCAAACCCCAGCAATCCTCTGCCTCTGCCCACCACCACCCCTCTAGCAATGGCCTGGCTTTTTACCTAAGTGCTGGGGATTTGAACTCAGGTCCTCATGCTTGTACAGCAAGCATTCCTTTTTGTCTCCAAGAAAGTATTTGTAGTAAATGAATGAAGTAAAAGTTGAGGCCGCCCTTCAAAAAGAATGGTGGTATACAGGCTTTGAGTAATTTGCTCCACATACTCACTTGTAGCAAACTGCCAGACACCCCCCTGACAGCCTTCAAGGGATGCTTGAGCCTTCAAGATTAATTTAGCATCTTTTCTATGCATATATATCATATGCATCAAATGCCCTGTGGGAATGCATGTATATTTCCAAGTGTGAATGTTGGCCTTTTTCACGAGGACACTATTCAGAATCTGACTTTGTCAGAGCCGCAAGACAATATATTTCAGATTCTGCGCAGTTTTGATACGTTAGCAAGAAAAGTGAATGCACCAGCATCTTCCTTGCCACAAAGAGGGGAGGGTGGGGTGGCCAAGAATTTGCACATCAAATGTAAATGTGACTGGTTCCCTTGGGTTTTAAGGACTTGAGTTCTGCTAGAAAGAGATAAAAGCAAGAAAAGACGAAAACCTGTCATAATACTAGATGTCCCAGGACCCTGAGCTTTTGAGAGGCCCTGATTTATTATTCAGGTTTTTGCCATGTCAAAGTAACTGACTAACTGCCCATGTAAAGGGGAAGCAGCAAGAACTCTGTCACCCTTTGGGAACATGGCATGAAGGACCTTTCTTCAGACCCAGGCATCAGGCTTGCACCCCCAGGATTCATCTCCTGACCCATCTCCACAGCCCTTGGGTGTAACATAGCATTAATGAAGGAACAGTAGTGCATCCCTATAATCTCAGCACTCAGGAGACTGAAGCAAGAGGATCACCAAGTTTAAAGCCAGCCTGGGCTATAGCATGAGGCAGGGCAACTTTGTGAAACCTTGTCATAGATATAAAGTAAGAGGAACCCTTGACAGTGTGGCTTGATGGGAGAGGTTTGTCTGGCAGGTACTCCATCAAAACTAGACATAATATGAACTCACTGCTACTTTCCTAAGGAACTGGAATTTTTTTCCCCCAGAAAGTTATTTGGTTGCCTCCTACTTTTAACCTCACAAATCGAGAATACGACCACTATCACAGTTTAAAGCCAAATTTGAAGCAAGCTTTAATTAAATACTGGCCAGGTGGATGGACTCTGGCCAAGTCCATTCCAAGGTTCCTGGGAAATGGCCCAGAATCAAGTATGGCAATGACTTAAGAAGGAAAACCCATAATTCATTGTATTTCCCATCACACCAGGTCCAATCAGGGGCAAGCACATATCCTGACACATTTCCTGCCTGTGTGATCAAGCATATTGATACAGATGGGTCCAAAAAAAAATGTTTAGGGAAATAAAAAAAAATAGCTTCCAGCATTTCAGGAATTATCTGTCTTTGTGCAAGTGACTTGCAGATCAGAGGCATTTTGTTTCGTGGATCCCTTAGGCATAGTAATTAAAACTTAAAATGTAACTTTGACTCTCACACTGCCTCCAAAGAGTGCTCCTGTTGAACATCAGAGCAGTTGACAGGTGTTGAGGTTCTTCAGCTATTATTTACCAGGCACTTGTGGACCAGATCATTAAAGATGCTTACTATCAGTCTCAGTAAGTACATCACGTACTTACCACACAAACCTGTACATCATGTGCTCACCACACAAGCCTGTAAAAAGGCAGGTGTGGAATGTGTGTGCACTTATCATCTCAGCACTGGGGAGGTGGAGACAGGGAGGTCCCTGGGTCATCTGGACCAGCCAATTTAGCCAAATAAAATTGCAGACCAGTGAGAGCTGTTTCAATAGGAGAAGAAGGGCAGTATCCTGGGGAGCCACACCCGGGGTTGACCTTTGACCTCCACACCCATGCTCCTGTGTTTGCTCTCTGTCTCTCCATCTCTGTCTGTCTTTCTCTCCCACGAGTGCACACACACAATTTTATGACAGTTTAGGTGGTGAAAATATGGTGGGGAAGACAGGGAGGCCTCTGTGAAAAGGACAAGAGCTGTGGGCTTAGACACTGAAGTTTAGCCTCAGCTCTGGTGTTCTCTTGCCTCCTTGCTCAGGATAAAAAGGAAACATCAGTGTGCAAAAGGGCTGCAGGGCAGAAACAGGTACCCTACAGAAAAGTCCAAACCTGAATCTGCAGGGAGCTCAAAAGAATCTTCCAGATTAATTTTGTTGATACTAGATCAGGATAACTTCATACTCCCTTCAATCTCTGACATTGGCCCCACAGAACTATAGAGTTGATGAGTGTTATGACTCTCAGAGATAAAGAAAAGAATGGCTTTTATATTATCTGATTTACTTTTTATTTACATTTCTGTATTATTTCTTAATATTTGTATTTTCCATGCCTCATATGGAAGTCTAAAACCTCCCAATCCCTTCTCAGTATTTTCTTTAATGTGTGCAAACCTGGGCGGCACTGGATCTTAAACCCGTGTTCAGCTAGGTGGTTAATGTTGAGCACTTGCCTGGCACACACAAGGCCGTGGGCTCCATTTACAATAGAAAAGGAAAAATAAAAAGAAATGAAGACCAGAAGGAAAACTAGAAGGAGGAAGGGATGGAGGAAAAGAGAAAGGAAGAAGGAAAGGAGGGAGAGGGTGTTATAATTTAAAAAAAAAAAAACAGTGCAGGAGAAAAAAATGCCA